ACCTACTTTGTTTTTTTTTTTCTACCTGGATTTACTGAGATGCATCAGGACAGTTATCAATATCAACTGATATAAAACACTTTTATATACTGATACACTTTTCAGCCATGTCACCCAGCCCCAGTTGTTTATGTAATTACTAATTAAGCAGCATGACTAACAGCAGATTCCAAAAACATTGTGAATGTCACTATTTTTGGGCCCTTTGATTAAAAAACTGAACAACTTTAGTTTAAAGGTATTACAGGATAATTAGTTTTAGGTCTACCTAAATGTAACATATAAACTGTCTTRTGTGTATTTATTTACACAAACATGATCATAATTAAAGTGTTTGTAATGACCCTGCTTCTGGTTGACTTATAAAATAAAAATAAATCATCTAAAAGTTTCTGCATGATTTAGATGTTCTTCATTTTAAAGGTGCAGTGTGAAATTTACATTTTGAAAGAAGTTACTCTTATTTGTCTTTCTCACATGATAAATATCTTAGTATGGAGCAGCTCATTTCCAAAGTTTTGTTTCTGTTTCACAAACATGGATAACTCACTGAACAAAACKTTATCTGTTGTGAGTATTTCTCATCCTCTTCCACTTCTGCCCACCYTTTAGCCTTCCTAAACCCATACTGAAGAAGTCCGTGGCGCCTCGGCCCTCCTCCTCTCGCTCCGTAGAAGAAGATATCCAGGGCTCGAAGGACGCTCTCATTCAGGACCTGGAGAAGAAGCTTCGCTCTAAAGAAGCCAGAAGAATACACAGTCAGGTATGTTTGTGTGTCCTCCAGAATATTTTGATAAACTGTCCAAGTAACTAAAGATTAAAAAGAAAGGCAATATAACCACAAATATTACAACGTAAAGCCTGTTGTTGACAGAAACTTTCTTATGAGGAGCGAATGGCTCGCAGGCTTTTGGGTCCAGACAGCGCTACSTGTGTGTTTGGCCAAGAGAATCTGTCAGACTCTCAGCTTGAGCAGGTACCACAACAACAATCATTGATTTTGTAAGATTTTATCGTATATAGCAGTGGTTCCCAAACTTTTCAGCCTTTGACCCTGAAAATACCAGCAGCAGGGGCCTGAGCCCCCAACTGTTGTTGGATCATAAACATTTTCACATCAAAAAATAAGAGCATAGTAACAATATTCATTATGCTATTTTTGTCCATTTTCAGAACACTAACCTTACTCTTTTTGTAACAACAAAGGTAAAAAATGTTGTTAATTGTTATTTTAATTCAGAAAATCTTTTCAGGACCCCAACTTGATGTTTTGGGATCCCCTTGTGGGTCCTGACCCCAGCTTTGGGAACCACTGGTATACAGCACAGTATTACTTTGTGAAGCCCCCAGAATCAACACCATAAAAACATTCAATTATCCCAAAACATCCCACAGAACAACATTCAAACATCTTTAATTAGAAAATGGAGCAGTATGCCACCTCAGGAAACCTGTCAAGTGAAAAGTGAGATTCTTCGTTGTCCCCCCCCCCCCACACACACACACACACACAAAATAAATGAATAAATTGCTCAGGCATCAGCTTTAAAATATCCCTGATGGGGCGGAGCCAACACATTCTCACTCCTGACTCGTCACATATTGATGCTTTTCCAAGGTTCCCTCTGCATCTTATTTTGACGAGTCAGGTGACCCCCTCACGTCAGTCCTTGCTCCCCGCGGCTTTTCTGGGTTGTACCACCAGGGGTCTTTGGGTCGGGGGTCTGAGGTTAACATGAGGGATCAGGATTAATGGTTAAGTTTAGGTACTGGTGTCAGGGACAGGATGTCTACAGTGAATATTAGATAATTTCAGGCTTTGGAGACGTGAATTTTCTACATTTTCTAAAAAAGGTTAATTTTAAGGATCAGGATTAATGGTTAACTTTAGGTACTAGGGTCAGAGACAGGATGTCTAAAGTGAATAAAGGTAGTTTTAGGCTTTGGGACGGTAGTTTTTGTGCATTTTCCACACTTTCAGAAATTATGACACAGATTCCGCCCCATCTCGTCAAAAAAATGACACAACAGGAGTACCCGATATGTCAAAATTGGACGTAGAGGGAACTTTGGAAAAGCATCTCAGAAGTGAGAATGTGTTGGCTTAGCAGGTCTGCTGCAGAGATGTGAGTATCTGACTAAAGGATGTGCTGCTCAGAGCTGGCTTTTGTAGAAAAGTGGACAGAAAACAAACAAACAATGGCTCAGCGGGGATGACAAGCTGCTCATTATTTCCATCAGTCTTTATGGAAACCTGAAATTTCAGCCTGGGTGAGAACTAGGGTTGGGTTTCATTTGGATTTGAATGATTCCAGTTCCTAACAATTCTTGATTCMGATTATTTTCAGAGGCAGGGTCAAACAGGTTTACATGGTTCAGATTTGGTAGCTGACCAGAGTTCTTTCTGGATGAAATAGTCTTAACTTCTCTAAGAAGTTTCATTATRTCAACCTTTTATTTTTATGAACTTTACTAAGAATTCCTGACAGGACTTTTATCAACCACGTTATAAATATCAAACCTATGAACTTGAATATAAATATTATCTGTAAGTCTAGAGTATCGATTGGAACCAGRACCATGTCGATTCTCCAGGAATTGTTCAAATTTAAATGTTTTGATTTTGATGCCCAGTCCGCCGACCAGAACCAGTAGCTGCTGAGCAAAAGCTACAGGTGAGAGGCCTGAATCAATGTCTGATTGTCTTACTGCACTGGCAGATTAGTTTATTAGTTTCAGAAGATTCAGACTCAAATGAAGTGAAATAATCTGACAGTGGAATGAGACAGTTGCACTTGATACGACTTCTTTAAATAAGGAAAATTTCCAGATTAACAAGATTAAAARTCTAACATAGTCTGTTCTTATTTAGTATATCAGTCTCAAAACAAGATCAAAAATAGTTTTTGGCCGATATAAGACTTGGTTAGATGGGTATTTTTTGAAGTKTACRCTTTTACAAGAGAGCTTTATCTYAAAAAAATAGCTGAAAGCACRGGTCTAGTATAACTTGTTAGCTGCCTYGATGTTTGTATTAGACATATTTTATCGTTCTACTCGGTCATGTTGGTGAAGGCTCACACAGCATTGTGCTGTTTGGGCCTCTCAGCAGCTACTTCTTCCGATCAGCAGACTGAGCATCAAAGTCTAAATTTTTAAATTTGAAAGATTCTTGGAGAATTGATGTGGTCCTGGTTCTAATCGATACTCTAGACTTAATGTCAAACTTTAGTCWGAAGCTCACTTCCAGCAGGRCAGACAGAAGCTACACTYCAACARTTAAATGTCCTGGAACGGTCCAGTCGAAGACCTCAATCAGACATTAATTTGTGTCATTTCGTTTTAGGAGCCTTTAGTTCAGCAGTTTGATTGTTGCCAGATCAGTCTTTTGAAATAAAAATGTAACGACCCGTTGTTCCAATTGTGACCCACTCTATGATAAGAAATCCTCCACATTGTCACTGATATGTGTAAGAATACTGAAACATTAGATTAAAAACCAGTCTTTGGTTTGACTGGTTGAAAGGGGAGCAGGTTTCCTTCTCAGGGCCTCCCAGCAGACCCATGAGCCCAAAGCTGGAAAAAGCCTGCCAGTAATAATCTGCAGCCTCAATGAGCTGCGCCATGCTGTCATTATAAGAGCTGAACTCTGTGTATGAGCCTCACACACACANCCTCACAGGTACCTACCTGACCCTAAACTAACCTCACAGGTACCTACCTGACCCTAAACTAACCTCACAGGTACCTACCTGACCCTAAACTAACCTAAACTCAATTCACACATTAGTCCAAAACCAAACCCCCGACCCACCAACAGCATTTAACCCCATGGGGATGAGTATTAGATAGGTACCAGTTGGTCCCCACAAGTAGGGATGTATGCCAGAAACTGTCCTCAGTTAGCGTGGAATACCTGCCCACACACACACACACACACACACCAGCATCCATTCCATCTAACTACATTGTGCTGTGGCTCATTAGATTAACATAGATTAGTCTTGACATGCAGCGTGTGTGTTCATGTTAAGTGTTGTTAAATCAATCAACCCCTGACACCTCGCTGATGATGTCATGACACACACACACACACACACACACACACACAGACACACAAAGGCATTTCCACACACTCAGATACACATCCTCCCTGTCCAACTGAGTGTTCACTGTTATTTAAAGCCTTTCTGAGAATGAGTTCCTTTCAGTGGTGACAATAGGACTATTGTGTCACCACACACACACACACACACACACACACACACACACACACACACACACACACACACACACACACACACACACACACACACACAGCTGACATTTTGTTGCCCTGTTGGTCACTTTTAGTCCTTAAATTGAAAGCTGTGCTCATGTCTCTTTACACTGACCTGTTGTCTTTTGCAGCCAGATTCTCCTGAAGGTCGACACACAGGTGGACTATGGTAAATRAATCTTTATTACCTTTAATCATTTATGCAGGTGTCACTGTGGAGCCTTGAATGGGAGCTCCTCGTTGGTGTTGGTGAACACGGCAGTGTTTATTCAGTGTAGTTGTAAAAGGAATTCAGTTCATCTGAATAAACCTGATAAAGTTCTCTTTGTTTTACACGCTGTCCATATTCAACTAGGCCTGTCGGGAAAAGCAAGGACTTAATTGATCGCAGGATCAATTAAAATGGGGTAGATAATATTCAGTTGCCTGCTTCTTTGTTTTCTTCATGTCTCTCTTTTTGTCCCCCGTCATCGAGGCAGGAGACTTAGAAATGTTCTCTGTCCATCCGTCCGTCTGTTACTATTACAGGAAGCTGTAACTTTCACATAGAAAGGCTAAAATACTCCAAACTTGGTATGAGTCATCCATGCTGCATACCCAACCATACCATGTGGTCATCTGACATCATCAAAGCCCCGCCCCCGACAACTGGTGTGGTCATGGCGGTGCAGCAAAGTCAGACATCATGCCGTTGACATATTGCCAAAAGTATTTGCTCACTCATCCAAGTATTAAGGGGTCTCTGCTGTAGATTTTGTCCTGTGGGCGGACACGTCCCTACACGTGATTGGCGGTGGTCTTTATGTGGGCGGAGATGGCCCGAGACGTGATTGGTCAGATTGACGGTGGGATTTGAGTCTGGAGGCAGCAGGGAGTAGCTTGATCGAGTCGGGCAGGAAGTAACATGTTTTTTATATTAATTGTGGTCACAACTTAAGAMAGGAAAGTGCTAGCTGCATGAAATTTGAAAGTCATACATGTGAAAGGATGTGTAACAATATGGCTCTGTTAAAACATCCCTAACCAGCCTGTAAAAAGATCGCTAAAAATCAGTAATTTTTTACAGGCTGGTTAGGGATGTTTTAACCAAGACATATTGTTACACATCCTTTCACATGTACGACGTTCAAATTTCGTGCAGCTAGCACTTTCCTTTCTCAAGTTATGACTAAAATTAATCTAAAAACAACGTGTTACTTCCTGCCTGACTGGACCAAACCCCCGCTGCCTCCAGACTCAAACCCCACCGTCAATCTGACATCTCTTGGGCCATCTCCGCCCACATTAAGACCTCGGCCAATCACGAGCAGGGGCGTCTCCGCCCACATTAAGACCTCGGCCAATCACGAGCAGGGGCGTCTCCGCCCNTCGGCCAATCACGAGCAGGGGCGTCTCCGCCCACATTAAGACCTCGGCCAATCACGAGCAGGGGCGTCTCCGCCCACATTAAGACCTCGGCCAATGACGATTTGGGCCGTCTCCGCCCACATTAAGACCTCGGCCAATGACGATTTGGGCCGTCTCCGCCCACAGGACAACACGTTCTGCAGAGACCCCTACTCGCATCCAAGTGACTGTGCATCAGTGCACAAAGTAAGGTCCATAAAGACCTGGAGGCAGAGTCTGGTGTGGATGAACTGGACTGGTCTGCACAGAGTCCTGATCTTAACCCAACAGAACACCATTGAAGTAGAGCAGAGACTGAGAGCCAGACCTTCTGTCCAACATCAGTATGTGACCTCACAAATGTGCTTCTGGAAGAATGGTCAAAAATCCCATAAACACTCCTAAAGCTTGTGGACAACCTTCAGAAGAGTTGAAGCTGTTCTAGCTGCTGATGGACCAACATCATATTGAACCCTATGTATCAGGAATAGGAGGTACCTGAAGCTCATATTTGAGTCAAGGCAGGTGAGACAATACTTTTGGCAATATAGTGTACGTTTGGTTCTAACTTCTAGTTCAGCCAGTCTGCACCCAATGCATTATGGTCAATCCTAATCCACCCCACGACAGGAATGAAGTCCAATTGTTGGAGGGCGTGGCCTAATTAGACAATGCTCCGTTGAAATATATTTGACTCTAAATCACACGTACATGATTCGATTTGAACCAAAGTTTGTGTGCATGATCAGGGAGACCTGCTCAACATGTTTGTGTGTAGTTTGTTAAGATCACTTCAGCTCCCTGTCCATCCATCTGTTCACCTTAAGAGATGATTTAAATAAGGAAGGCCTGCGATGATTCCAACAAAACTGCTAACAGCTGGTCACTACTGAAAAGTGATGGGGGACATCAGCAATGGTTGGTGTTGAGTTCCATCTTGTTTCTACTTAGTGTATGTGGGTTATCATTATATTAGATTAAAATGGTCCCCAAACAGTCCCTGTGATGGACTTGGGACCTGTCCAGGGTGTACCCTGCCCCTCACACAGTGACTGCTGGATATGGGCACCCTGAAAGTAAAAGCGATTATAGATAATAGATGGATCCAAACTATCATTTATCTCAATAATTTCTGAGACAATTTGTCATGACATGCCCTATATTCAACACGTTAGGTTTCTGCCAGTTTAACTGTCCATGTCGGAGTCTCAGAGTGTGGCCTGCAGCCATGTCTAACAAATAAATCTCTTTGTAGTTTGACCTGTACATGTCTAATGAGAGAAAAACTTTGGTTATAGGCTTCCTAACATCCATTCATTTGCTTTACCTGCTTCGTCTTTCTGGGTTGTGGGAGAGCTGGAGTCTGCCTGTCACTGTAGCTGTGTTTCCTTCAAGGTTTTTAATGTGCATTTTGAAGTACGGCATCAGAAAAGGTGAATGGAAACGACGATTCGAAAAAACTTCCTCTAATTTGCAAAAAAGTTGGTACTCTCGCTTGAGGTGGTTTTTGGGGTTTTCAGATAAGATAAGATAAGATAAGATAAAACTTTATTGATCCCACAGTGGAGAAATTTGCACATTACAGCAGCTCAAAACAGGACAGGGTGAGATAGAATAAAGAAAGATAAGTAAAAGAAAAAAAAACACCATACTCGCGATATATAACTGTACATTTATCTGGTACAGTAAAAAAATGAATGTATATGAAGGTGCATATTAGAAAAAAAAGTGTGAAAAAACGAGTTAATGTGCAACAGGACAGATGGAAACACATTTGTTGAATCAGTTCTGACGTAGTGAACATTTACCTCACATGTTGATCTGCTGTTCTGTCTGAACGGTACCAGAGTGGCAGCAGCTGGACCCTCCTCCTGCTGTCGGTGTGTTCTCAGTTATTCCCGTAACATGAAGAGGATTACATTTATTTCTCTACATCTCCAGACAGCAGTAACATCACCAGAACTAATTGATGACAGAATAGTTACAACTTTCCGATAACAGCAACACATTCCTGATAACTTCTGTCCATGGTCCTGAGATGCAACTTTTACTTCCTGTTTACTTATTGCATGCATCTGACGTAACTGATTCGCTTCAAGCCAGTTGATGGAAACACGTCTGATTCACATTTTTTCCTTTTTGCGGAATTTTAAAAATTTGCTCCAAATTTTAATTAGAATTGAATGGAAACACGGCTTGTGAGGGACGGGGCCACCCAGGACAGGTGTCCAGTCCATCACAGGGCACATGGAGACACACAACCATTTTAAATCTCACCCACACATAGAGAAAATTTGGTTAGCCTAGCATGCATGTTTTCAGTGTGTGTGAGGAAACCAAAGCCCTGGGAGAACATGTAAAGTCCACACAGAAGAACCTGAAGGCAAACCTGCGACCTCCTCACTGTCAGGCAACAGCTCTGACCACTGCCGTCCACTCCTAACATCCAAACAGACCTAATCCTAAATCGTYTCTCTCAGCCTGTAAAGCAGATGAAAGCAGCTGTTGGAACGTTACCACTGTTTTTGTTTGTTTAGAACCCTCAACTTCTGCCAAATTAGACTTTTGAAATTATAATCCAGKAACAAGCTTTAGTTCTGACCAGGAAGAGTGTGCCAAACAAACAGAGTCCAAATGTTTTAACCATTGTATAATTCAGCTTACTCTAAATGGGACYAGTTTACACAAAACACTTTCATAAGAAAACAACAACAAACCAAATGTTATATCTGATTTAAAATCAGGTGTTGTTTTTCCATGGATTTCACCTCAACTCAGTAGCTGTTATTTACTGAATGCAGCTTTTTGACACAAATATTAGCTTCACTTTTGACACAAGGTCATGTCCGTATTTTTACAGTCTTTTTTTTTTTTTCAGTTTCACTCTGAAACTTCTGGAAATTGTCAAAACAAATCCACACTTGCATCACAGAGACAGATTAATGTTCTAAAAGAGACCGCATTTTAAACTCAGTTATATTTTACACCAAAATAAAAGCTGTACTGTGAAAGTAGAAAATTTCAGAGGATATCAGTGCTGCTGGGCAAAAATCCAACATACTTTAGGTCTTTATCGTAGAAAGTTGACGTAATTCATGGCTTACTTTGGTAACAATCTAAGCTTTAAGGTTTTAATGCATAACTGGACAAGAAGAATTAAATGAAATAAGGTCAAAGGACCTATTAAAGCTCCTGCCAGTGGTTCTTTAGGGTCACCTGTTCCTCYAACTCAGACAGACAGAAATGTAGATTGCAAACAAAGCCTCAGTCCTTGTGCAAAAATTATAAATTAAAATATAAAATACTTCTGATTTGTAYATGGCAGATACATCTGTTTCTGTGTCTGCTGTATTTAATGTAGGAGATATGATRAGTTAAACCTCTGAGTTTATATGGCCCAAATGAAAATAAGCCAAAATTTTTTGAAGGTCTGTTTCTTACTATATCTACTCTTCAAGGATTTTATACCATTGGAGGAGATTTTAAATGCACTTTAAACCCAAATACAGATCGATCAACAGGCTCMGATGTTTATAAAGCTCAAACTAGAAAATTAATAACTCACTATATATTGCATATCAATTTGGTGGAAGTGTGGAGAGAACAAAATCCTGATAAAATAGAATTCTCTTGTCACTTCATTATGCATAAATCCCATCCACGTATAGATTATTTTCTTGTTTTGAGAGAACTTTTATCAAGGATCAAACAATGTCAGTATGACAGCATAGTCATCAGTGATCATGCAGCTATGACACTGAATATTCACATCCAGAACTTTGTACATAGCCAACCCCTTTGGCGGTTTCAAGCAAGGTGGCTACAAGATCAAAAATTATTCAAATTATTAGGGGAGAAGATAGACACTTATTTAGAATTAAACACGCATCAGTCTTGTGCCTCAGTGAGATGGGAAGGATTCAAAGCACATGTTCAAGGTGAAATTCTTAGCTATACAAGTACAAAAACAAGCAACAAAAGAAACAAATGGAAATCTTGGGTAAACAAATTAAATTTTTGGAATTAGACTTAAATACTAACGATGACCAAATAAAGCAGAGTAAATTGTTACGTTTGAGAACTGAATATAATAAATTATCTTATGAGGAAGCAGCAAAAGGTTTTATGTGGTTAAAACAATCTTATTATGACCAAGGAGAGAAAGCTGGGAAACCCTTAGCATGGGGAATTAAGAAAATACAAAGTGAAAGAGCAATTATCAACAATAGTTAACAATAGTTTTAGGCAATACTATGTAAAACTATATAAAATGGAAAGTTGCTGTGCCTCGGAAGTACAAGATATATTCTTAGACCTACTTCGGTTTCAGACACTCAGAAGAGACAAAAAAGGAATTGGATTTAAATTTGACGAGTGAAGAAATTTCACAGGCTGTACAGAGTATCAACAGTGGCAAAGCTCTTGGGCCAGACGACTTCCCCACTGAATTCTATAAAACTTTCAAAGAAAAACTTATAGTCCTGCTCTTCATGTTTGAAGAAATGTCCTGATGCATCTCAGTAAACCAGGTAGAAAAAAATCAAAAAGAAAAAAAA